TAGAATGTTAGTAGTCTTCTGCCACTTCCCCAGATTACTTATTATGTTTTTAATTTTAGTTTGTATGTGGATATGACTGAAGTACATTTACACATAGAGTCTAGTTTTGATCAGAAACAAATCAGAAATTTCAGTTCCCAGTTCATGCATTTTACTGACACCATAAATCAGGGTCTGAATCTAACTTTTATCCATGCAGAAGAAAATGGTAGAATAGAATGGGAATTGATAGCTTCCTGTCACTCTGGATAACTATTGCTAGGGAAAAGTGAAAAAGAGGAGATAAAGAAGTTGACTGAAGGCTCTGCTCATGGAACATGTTCACATCTTCAAGAAGACCTCACATCTGTTCATGGGACTTCACATCTTAACACAGGAATCTGCTCTCCTTCAAATCATTGTGAGCTATGTTTTTTTTAATTGAGAGAGGTTCTTCATCTCTCATCTTTGCCCCTTTCACTAACTCCCACTCTGTCACCAATAAAGAAGAAAACGAGTTTCACAGATACCTCTAAAGGGTCCACACAAAGTAAGGTTTCCTAATAGAATTCTGGCTAGCTTCAATTAGGAATTCTGGCTAGCTTCAATTAGGAATATCACATGGACAAGAAAAATAATTTGGGAACATAGTAGAGTTGGAAATGGGGGAAAAAAGCTTAACTGAAAAAAATAAAACTGACCTAAAAATCATGGTGACCTTTGGGACAACACAAGTTTTCTCGGAAAATATAAATGCCTGATTCAATCTATTTGCAAAAATGATATTATTGAGTATTTGTGTTGATAGGCAGAACCTACACTTTGAAGAATGACAATGGAATTTTTAGTCATAAAAAATAAAATTAATTAATGCATAAAAAATACAGAGAGCAGTGCCTCACACAGAGTTTAATGTTCGCTATAATTATTATTTCTTAAACATACTATTAAATTCTCCACAGGTATGGTATAATATGAATAAACATAAGTTGGTTATTTTATAGCACCATCCTTCTTCCCCCCAGGTTTGTAAATAAGAAAGGGATACAGCCAAAATGAAACTGGGTGTTGGAGCAATTATAATGACATCTCACTTCCATTAGTCTCTCTTGGTGAGAATTAGAAGCAAAGAAAAAGAGTCCTCTAAGTTACTGAAAGTGCTATTCGTAAAGTACTTATACTTACTCAGATCATATTCACTCATATTTTATAAACAATTCTGAAACAATTCTCTATTCTGTAGCTTTCACCTATAGCTAATAACGGTTTGTTTTTAAACACCCACCATATTCTTGGAGCTGAGCCATGTATGTTTGTACATGGGCGAGTTTGTTTAATCTTTACAAATTCCTATGAAGTATGTATTAGTTTTTCTATTGCTGCTGTAATAATTTAGCACCAATTTAGTGGCTTCAAACAACACAAATTTATTCTCTTATAGTTCTGGAGGTCAGAATCTGAAATCAGTTTCACTAGACTAAAATCAATGTATGGGCAGGCCTGAGTTCCTTCTAGAGTTTGTAGGAAAGAATGTTTCCTTACATTTTCTAGCTTCTAGAGGTCACCTATATTCCTCAGTTTGTGGCCCCTTCCTCCATCTTCAAAGCACATCACTTCAACCTCTGCTTCTGTCCTTACATCTTTCCTCTCACTCAATTTGCTCTTTTTGCTTCCCGCTTAGGCCTACCCAGATAATTCAGCATAACCTCACCATCTCAAGATTCTGAAGTTAATCATATTTCGAAGTCCCTTTTACCATGTAAGGTACATATTTACAGCTTCTGAGATTTGCACATGCCTGGACATCTTTGCGGGGTCATTATTCAGCCTTTATTCAGGCAGATATTATTATTCTCACTTTGCAGATGAGAAAAAACACGTAATGATTATTGATTTTAACTCTGTACATTGAGAAACTAAAATTCAGAGAGGTTGAGTAGCTTACTCAGGCTCATAAAACTGAAAAGGCATCAACATTCAAATTTAGGGCTTCCTAATCTTAATGTTTTTTTCCCTACACAATTGTGCTCTCAAAGTATGAAAAAAGATGAAGCAAGGACTGACTCCTTAAAGGTGGACTATTTGTTTTTTTTCAGTTGAGCTGAAAGTATTTATTAAATTTTTACTGAATGGTTACTGTATGTAAGACCAAATGTTAGGTGCTAGAAATAAATATATATCAGTCTCTAAGTAATCCCATCTCTTCTCAAGTATTTAAAAACTTTATATATATAACTCCTGAATTTGCCTCCAGTCCCAACCCCTCTTTTGAGCACCAAAATCAACAGCCTAATTGATATCTCCTGTTTCATGTCCCATAAACTGTAGCACCTTGTCATGTATGGAACTGAGCTCTTGATTTTTCCCATACAAACATGTTCATCCCTCAGCCTTCATTATCTCAGGAAATGGTACTACCACACTCCACTCTTTCACCATCCATGGCTAGTCAACAACCAAATGTTAGAAATTTTATCTTAAAAATATTTTTTATTCATCTATTTCTCCTTATTTCCATTGCCCCCAGACTCCTCACTGGTATCTTCATTTCCATTCTTACATTCCTTCAATCAAATCTCCACACATACACTGATGTGATATCTTTAGAACATAAATTGGATTATGTCACTTCCATGTTAAAATACTTCAGTAATTCCCAACTATATTTATAGTAAAACCCAATTTTTTTTTTTTTTTTTTGCTACAGATCATGACTCCATGGCTTGATCTGCTTAGGATTTTTTTGTGCCATTATCCTGGCATAACTAGTAAGAGTTCCTTTCACTCCCCAAATTGTCCAGTTTGGATAATCAATCACATGGCTATCCTAACTATAGGGCCCTGTGTGATCTTTTCTCTGCCTGAAATGTTCCAATAGCCAGCACCTTTTGTCTCAGGACTCAGTGGGGTCTTCCCTTAAGTATCCCATGTAATTATTTTTCTCGTTCAAAATATGAACTACAATGTTTAACTCTGGACTTAACTGTTTTATTTCTTAAATGTCTGTTCAACCTATTAGGGCGTACAAAGAGAATCAGGACCATGTTCATGTTGTTATTGTAGTTTTTACTTGCTGTGGAATCCATTACAACTCATAGTAATCCATGTGACAGAGTAGAACTACCTCATAGGGGCTTCTTGGCTGTAATTTTTACGGAAGCAGATTGTCAGATCTTTCTCCTGCAGAGCTGCTGGGTGGGTTCAAACCACCAACCTTTTAGTTAGCAGCCAAACACTTAATCATCTGTGCCACCACGGCTCGTTAAAGTCCAGGTTATTTATTCCTATATACCTTAGTCAGCATAGTCCCTGGCACACGGTAAGTTCTCAACAAATATATTTTGAAGGATTGATGACAAAGTAATCCTGCCATATAATCAAAGAAATATGTAAACAAATAGTGTAACATTTAAATAATATGAATGTGTTCAAGACATCAATGACCAAAACTAGTACTGAAGAGGAAACGGTTATTTCTGCTTAGAGAGAAATAGGTTGACAAAGGAAGGCTCTGTGAAGGGAGGTAGCCCAATCAGCACTGAAAGATGACTGAGATCATGCAGTGTGAATGAAAAGGCTGTGAAAAAAGATTTCTTCTAAGCAGAGGGAATGGTATTTGCAAAGGCAAAGAGGTATAAAACTGTGAGCATTCAGGGAACTCAAAGCACTTCTATTGTTAGACTGTATAGTCATACAGAATTGATATCTTAATGCCATAAATCTTTAAGGAAAAACCTAAATTGTAGAGAACACTGAAGGGAAAATAGAGAGAGCTAAGAAATTTCAAGTAGCTTTGTTTTCATTTAGAGCCCTAGGATGATTTTAAAATTTTGATTGCATATTTACCTTACTTTATATATTATAGAAGGTCTTAGACAAATAAATCAGTTTTGAAGACTCTCATTTAAACTTCATTACCATAAAGAATCTTCTCAGTTGTTTTCATCACTTAATATTCACAAAATTAGAATAAATGGTCCATAAGAAAACTATATTGAGACTTGAGGATATATAAACTAGGATTTTCCCTTAAATTATTTTCTGGGTTTTACTTTTAAGAATTATCTCAAATTTCTGATTTTGGTAATTTACTTTTATATATTCTGATGTCATAAAAATAAATAGGCCAAATCTACTAAATTAACATTCTGACAATTACACAAATGCAAAGATGAATATATATATACATATATAAAATCCCAGCCATATTTTGATGTAACTAAGAGTTGAAGTACTGAATTAAAATTCATCTTGACCTTATTTCTCTAAAAATAAAATTTTCAAGAAAGATGCTTGGTATAGAAAGTCATACATGGTTCCTTTGAACATAAAGAATGTATACCAGAGGTTGCATGCCAGTGGACTGCAAGACATAAATGTTTTGCTTGGCCCCCAGAATGCTTCAAAACTTTGAGTCAAGATTTAAATTTGGGGAAATTCACATAAAAGTTCAGAATTCTGGATCCTCTTGAGAAACTGGAAAATCAGACTAATCTGGTAATACTCCTCCAAAACCACAGTGCCCTGAGAATGAGTAGTTGCTCTCTAGTTCACCAGAAAAGTCCTCCATCCCTACCACATCCCTCTTCATAACTTGTACTTCCTATGAGACCTCCTGCCAGATCAAAAAAGACCAATCCTTAAAGCCCAAGTGAGAATTATCAAAATATCTAGAATATTGAGAATTTAACCATTTGTAATAGTAAGAATTTAATACAATCTATTTTATTAAAATCTTCTAAAAACAGAATAATTCAGACATTCAACCTTTTCTTTCTTTGGTTTTGTTTGTTTATTAACTATACTATACCAAAACAAACCAAAGAACGAACAAATCCAGTACAACAATTCTTTTGGCATCTGATCAATGCAACATCAACAGCATGATATAATTATCCAAAAATATCTAATATATCATGTGTTTGATCTGCGGTTTGCATAGCAATGCCACCTCATAGTATATATTTCAATATCAGGCATAATTTATTTTATTTAATAGGTGAAAGACTTGACATGCTATTCTAGATTAGGAGATATAAACCAAGAAATGTGATTTCCACTAGAAGTGATGAGCACTTACTTACCTTAGCTATTTGGACACACCAGTTAAGCAGCAGCTGAGAACCAATGTTATCCTTGTGCTCATGGACGTAATCCAACAGGCAGCCATGGGGCATAAGCTGCGTAACCAGTTGAATTGTTGGGCTCAGACACACACCCAATAGTCGAACTAGGTGTGGATGGTCCATACTTGCCATGATCAGAGCTTCCTGTAAGAAATAAATATAATGCCACCATTTCATCTCAAAGTTCTTTACAATTATAGTTACTTGTATTATACTAATGATGCTGATAATGATATTGAAAACGTACTTTCACTCAATGGAATCAATTAAAAATAAAAAGACATTATTGTAGCTATTATACTCCAAAGTAACTTAATTCTACGAAATAAAATGAGAAGCAAAGACTATACATTTATTAAATTTGAAGATGTCATAGAATAACTGCTTATAAAATTAATAGCAATATTTTGTCTTTTATAATATGTAAAATATTAGATTTTATTTATCGCTAAGTGAGTTGAAACTGAACCCCAAGTTACACTATGGATTTTTACACTTTGATCTTTCTTTTTAAAGTGGAAATAATCTATACAAATACAGTTGTTTGCAATAAATAAGATGATTCACCTTATTAAGTCATCCATTATGGTGTGGAGTTGGATAGCACACACATAATGTATGTATTTATGTATATGTAACGTATAAATTGTAAATACAGGCTCAATTTTAAAAATATGCCCATTGTGAATTTATATAGAAGACTAAACATTCTTATATTTTTCTTCTAAATTTGGCTCAAGTTCATTTGGGTGTAGTGTATACAATGTTTCTAGTAGTATTTAGATTTGGTGTCTTGAAAGGTAGTTGATTAAAACTGAGTATGTCTTTAATACCTTGTATCACAATAACTATGTATGTTATCAACTTAAATTGCTGGAATAAGGTAAACTGATACACAACTGTTCTTTTTCATCTAGAACTTTGACCTAATTTGGTTTTCCAAAACCATTTTGGCTACTTGTATTCTTTATACTGTTGTTTATTTCAGTAAAAAATTCACACCTAAATGTGAAAAAAAAGATACTTTTCTCATAAATTAGCCTTACTTAATTTTTATTTTAAAAATTATAAGTGATATCTTATTCATAGAATTTGAAAGCTAGGTCAGACTATAAAATTTGTCTACTCCAACTTCCTCATTTCATAAAATGAAAAGAGTGAGTTCTAATTTCCTTATACTCAAAATTACCTTTGATTAAATTGAGATAAAATATGGAAACATAATGGTTATTTAATAAATCTTCAAGTTAGCCTTCAATAAAAAGTCCTTTTAAGTGTCTTTATTACAGTTTGAAACATATGGCCATAAAGGATATTTTTAGGTCCTTATTTATGGTTTGACATATGATATTTTGTATGGAAAAGTAAATAAAACAATGTTGATAACCTATGAAAATAGGAAATTTTTTTCTTTTAAATGCTTCATAACATCAATTATGTAGTATACTTGTCAATAATATTTAACTTGTATCTAACCATAATAAAATATTAAATGAATCCATATTGTGAGACATTCTGCAAAGTAACTGGCCTGAGCTCTTTAAAAATATCAATATAAGAAGGAGAAAAAAAGGAAGGGGGAATTCTAGCTTAAGTTCATGTTACAGATTGAATTGTGTCCCCCAAAAATATGTGCTGTAAATCCTAGCCCTTATACCTGTGGTTATAATCCCATTTGGGAATGGGTTTTCTTTGTTATGGCAATAAGGTAGTGTTACTGTAGGGTTTGTTTTGACTCAATCCCTTTTGAACTATAAAAAGAGCAGGTTAGGCATAGAGAGGCAAGCAGAGACGGAGGAAGACAGACTCAGTGTCACATGAAGATCACTAAGGAGCCAAGGAATAGAAGCTAAAGAGACAAGGACCTTCCCCCAGGGCTCACAGAGAGAAAAAGTCTTCCCCTAGAGCTGGTGCCCTCATTTCAGACTTCTAGCCTCCAAAACTGTGAGAAAATAAATTTCTGTTCATTAAAGCCACCACTTGTGGTATTTCTATTACAGCACACTAGATAACTAAGACAGTTCACTACAGAGACAGGACAATGCTGAATCTTTGACTCTTGGATTGGAAAAACAAACAACAGCAGCTATAAAGGACTTGATTGGGACAACTGGGGAAATATGAAGATGGACTGTCTATCATGTGAAACTAGCAATGTTAAATATTTGGGAGTAACTGTGGTATTGTAGTTATATAGAATAATGTTCTTTGCTCTTTGGAGATTCTGACATATTTAGAGATGAAGTATCTTATGTTTGAAACTTGCTTTCAAATGATTTATTGAGAGAGAGCCTGTGTGTAGAGTGTAGAGGAAGTGTGTGTATGTACATAAACAGCAAATTATTAATAATAAGTTTATCTATATGAAGGGTACAAGAGTGTTCATTATACTAGTCTTGAGCTTTTTTTGTAGCTTTTTAATTTTTCAAACAAAATATTAAGGACAAAAAATTATGGTGAGCTTCCGGTTAAGAGGACATTTACTTTCATTCCCTCTCAATTCCACTATACTGACAAAAAAGGAATTAATAAAAAGAAAGACACCAACAATAACAGAGAAGAAGAAGTAAGAATAGAATACTAGAAGTGAGAAGTGGCTTACTAGTGGTAACTGACTTAGAAAACATCAGAAATCTAAAGCCTAAATTAGTAGTGGGAAAAACTGAGAAACAACTCAATTTATATAGGTATACACCACCAAAGCTTCAGGTAATGTTAGCACCACCCAACCAAACCAAACCCACTTCGATCAAGTCGATTCTGATGTATAGTGGCCCTACAGGACACAGCAGAACCACCCCATAGAGTTTTCCAGGCTGTAAATCTTTACCGAAGCAGACTGCCACATCTTTCTCCTGAAGAGTGGCTGGGGGGGTCTTTAATCATTCTTTCTCCTGAAGAGTGATGAAAGCAGCCAAGCGCTTTAGTCACTGTGCCACCAGGGCTCCCTTATTAACACCATCAAGCCAAACAAAACCCACTGCCATTGAGCTGATTCTCACTCATAGCTACCCTATACGAAAGAGTAGAACTGCCCCGTAGGGTTTCCAAGAGTGGCTGGTAGATTCAAACTGCTGACCTTTTGGTTAGCAGCCGAGCTCTTAACCTCTGCACCACCAATCAAAACCAAACCCATTACCATGGAGTCGATTCTGACTCATAGCAACCTGTAGAACTGCCCCATATGGTTTCCAAGGAGCAGCTGGTGGATTCGAACTGCCAACCTTTCCATTAGCAGCCAATCTCCTAACCACTGCACCACCAGGCCTTCATAAATAGGAAGGGTAAAACGAAGCTACCTGCAGCAACATTACCTGAAAGTATATTTAGGATGCACTTAAACTTCAGATCCTCTTCTTCCCTCCACCCTTATGAGAGGGTAAACAATAAAGCTTGGGGACTATGGGACACCAGGCATAATGGAAACAGAAGTACTCTGATGGAAATAGAAGGAGTATGTAAATTTATATAAGGTGAAAACTGGGACCACTCTCTAGTTTCTTCTCCTAAATGGGGCCAATGACTACAAAACTCTCAGGGAAAGGCTTATTTTTTAACCTAGAATTCTATACCCAGCATAATTTCAACCAATTGGATATAACAAAAATATGTTCAGACATGCTTGTTGTTGTGTGCCGTTGAGTCGCTTCCAAATCATAGTGATCATACATGTCAGAGTAGAACTGTCCCGTAGGGTTTTCTAGGCTGTAATCTTTAGGGGAGCAGATCTCCAGGTTTTCTCTACTGTGGAGCCACCGGTGGGTTCGAACAGCCAGCCTTTCGGTTAGCAGCTGAATACCTCAACCATTGTGCCACCAGGGCTCCTAGGTCTTAAAAATTTACCATCTATGTTTACTTTCTCTGTTAAATGTGATCATAAAAAAGGAGGATGTAATTTTAAAAGTATGTGGAGTCCAGAAGATAAGGATCCAACACGAGTTGTGAAAATTCTAAAATGATAGAAAAGGGATCTTCCAGGGATATTCCAGAATGAAGCTATACAACAAAAGCGTAGCCAGGCCAGACAGGAGCAGGACATATAGCTTTGGGAGAGATGATCTAAGAAGATGGAATTAATAGAATACCTAACAAGTTTAAAACACAGTGAGAGGATATGTATTTTTCTCATAGAAAGTTGAAGGTGAAATTAGTGATAGATCCACAAATGTGAAAAGAAGAAATTAATTTGAGGTAAAACACAAAGATATGCACAAGAAAAGCAAGGCACTGTACTTACCACACAGCACAGAATAGTGCAAAATTATTATAATGTAAACACAAATTACATGACTACATTGGAAAATGGGGAAAAGGAGGTGCACATCAGCAAAGTCGCGGTGAGAAAACAGTGAAAGTTAAACTCTCACCCTCCATAATGGCAAGGACATGATCGTAAAACTGAAAAATTAAGAATTGACAGTATATTATTTAGATATATGGAGGGTTTTTTCTTTTTTCTTTTTTTTTTTTTTACCACAGGGAATTGCCAAAAAAGGTGAAAGTGACTGCTTGGGGCAACAGAAAATGGGGGCAGGGAAGGAGGAAGGGGGTCTTTTTTGATTATTCTTGTAGAACTATTTGACTTTCTTTTTTCTCATGCATTTAAAATTTTTTTTTTACTGTGGTAAATATATATAACATAAAATTTGCCATTTTACAATTCAGTGGCATTATTTATATTCACAATGTTGTACTATCATCATCCCAAACAGACACTCTGTACTCAGTAAGCATTAACTCCCCATTTCCCCCTCCACCCTGCAACCCAAGGTTATCACTAATCTATTTTCCGTCTCAATGCTTTTGCTTGTTCTAGATATAACATATAAGTGAGATCATACAATATTTGTCCTTTTATAGCTGGCTTATTTTAATTAGCATAATGTTTTCAAGGTTCACCTATGTGGTAGCATGTATTAGGACTTCATTCCTTTTAACAGTTGAATAATACTCCTTTGTCAGGATATATCACATTTTATTCATCCATTCATTTCTTGATGGACTACTTGACTACTTTTACTTTAAAGCTATTTGGGAGGACATTATTCACTTTTATTTTCCACTACAGCTGTAGTGGTGTTGAGTTCAGATGACCTTAAAGATCATTCAGAGTTATGGAGTATATCTAATGGAGTATATCGACT